GACTCTTATAAGTGTTGTTTCCTGCTGCAACTGCTCAGTGAGAAACAAAAGTGGAACATTTCCTTTGATGTGAAAATACAATGGGACTAAAGACAGAAAATATCCGAGAAGTGACACGTTTAAAGAGAGCTCGTCAGCCTGTTCCTCTTAATCTCACTGTCATATCAAGTCCCAAAGTTTCCTTTAGGATATTGTTTGTCTTTAGTTTTCTGGACACAATGCCATGATAATAATTGCTAGACAGTCACAGTAACAGATGCTGACAGGTAAGTCGACAGATGGCATTTTAAAGTCCACTGAGCTCAGTAAAATAGATAAATAAATAATACTGTATCATGTCAGAGATTAGGTGCTGCTGTTTGCAGCACCATCACAGAAAGCAGAGCCATTAGCATTTATTTTCTCTGCTAAGATGGAAATTCGTGCTGGCAACATGCCCATCATAGTGGCATTTAACTCCAAACAGGTGCATGCGATGCTGCTTCTGATGTTGAGCCACAGAGACACTGCAAGACTTTAAAAATGAAAACAGCAAACCTGTCCTTTAAAACTGACCTTCAGCATATATGTGTGTGTGTGGGGGTGGACTAGTGGGTGGACGGTTGAAGGGTGGGGGGGCTGATACTCAAAATGGTAATCACATATCTCATTGCATGTATAATGAATCACTGAGAGTGAAATGGGCAATCTAAACAGCAGGCACTTTTTTTTTTTTTTGTTACAGCTTGTGTGGATAAAACTGATTGTCTGTTTACATTTGTACATGGCAGCATTAAGGCTTGACTTTTTCATCAGAGAGACTTTAGGAGAAAGAACTTATCATCGATTAAAAAATTTGTTGCACTGCTCATCTGGTCAGCATTAAGCACTCCATGAATCACAAACAGAAACCTGAAGCAGGGCACACACACACACACACACACATCTATATATCTATATATATATATATATCTATATATGTGTATATATATATATAAATAAATGTGTTAATATTGATTAGTCTGGATATTATTTTCTGGAGACCACATGTTTTTTCCCCTACAAAAAAAACACTCTAAGCCACAAAGATATTAAGCTTGCTATCATATATCACAAAGAAATCCTCACAAACCCTCCTCTGTGAGAAGCAAATGGGCCTCGTCACTCTCGTCACCTTGGCAACATTGGAGAATGGAAAATGGAGCATTGTAAAATGTGATGAATGTTGTGAAGGGATCTATTTGAACCCAAACAAACATCCATTCCTAAATCCAACCAAACAGGAGGCTGAAAAAAGTAAATAGTGACTGAGATAACATAGTCAAAAAAATACCACAAACTACATATACAATAATAAAAATTAAGAGTATGTTATGGTAAGTGTAAAGGAAATGACTCAGTAATGATTGACAGCAAGCTTAAGCCATTTAACCCACTGATTATTGTTGTAGGAACCTCTGTTTCTCTCTTAAAGCCCTGCAAGATAACAATCACCATTCCTTGAGCTTAATTTTCTTGTCACACTGTAACACACTCTTTACCATCAGTACGTTATCTGCGTGCAAGATACCAAACTAGCTACTAACAAGGTAAAACAGTAAACGGCAAAACAATTAAAAACAACACAATTTTGACTTTAAAACAAAGCAAATTATCAACCAGTTCTACCACCTCCCAGTTATTCTGATGCCCCCTGAAGATGTACTTTGTAATTATTTTAGTAGATCAAGAGAGTCGTTGCACTTTCTGCTAAGTGGCTCTGAGGAGCTTAAGTAACTTCTGCAAAGATTTATGCATGCATGGAAAAGAAAGTACACCCTTTCCCAATTCTTAGGATTGGTTAATAAATAATGGCACATTGTAATAAGTCATGTCCTGTTGTTCATCTGTTTGCTTTTACCCCGTTTTAAAACATGTCATGATATTGTTTTCTTTCCCGTCATGTGTATATGCGTGCTTTCTCTCAAACCCAACTGGTTGTCAGAAATGTGAAATATGCTAATCTGGACTTGCTGAAGCAATCAGAACTTTAATCCTTTGACACGCCTGATGGCGCTGGTTGAAACGAGGGGCATTGTTAGACCAAAAAATCACGATTAGCTGGCTCTCAGGTTCATTCTGTCTTCAGCCATCGCTGTGTTACGTGTCTATTTCACAGTTTTGAGCAGCCGTTTCTGTTCACCATAGCTGACAGAAAGTTGTACTCTTTGACAACATAAACTGCTCCGTGGGCAGTGGGCTGTTTCTTCATCCTTTCATGTTAGACTGAGGGCAGACTAAACACCACCATGACTCACCATCCCATCTGGTGATGCTAAACGGTATTACTGCACAGTGGTACAGGTTGGAGCTCGGCGGTTAGTGGACGGCTCCACAGTCCTTAAAACTGCTGTTTGAATCTAATATGGAATATTGTTGGTGACCTATCACTTTCAGAGAGCGCCTCACTGCCTTTAACAGACTGAGAACAGAAGTGAGATTCTCATGTGCTTGGACGGAGAGGGTTTTTCTATCAACATAGTCATAGAAAAACACAGATAATAACTCAATGGTGGAAAAATTAAGACATCAAAGCACTTTGGTTTGTGGAGGGGGTGCCTTCCTTTGCCAAAAATGACGTGCACATAATAGTGTCACAAAACTAGAATGAAGAAAAAATTAAAAATTGATGACTTTAGATCTTCATGCACCACTGGGTATTTAACTTATTTACCAAGTGACCAACACAAAAATGTTTTTCAGTTAAATAATGTACATTATCACATGAAGGTGGTGATATATTAAGATGCCAGCAGCGCTGGAAATACGCGACTCCTTATGTTGTCTTGCTGAGAGCTGAGAAGACTGCCACTGTTCTCATTATCACAAAGTCAAGAAACACGGGGAAACAGCTAGCATGGCCCTGTTCGAATTTAGAAACCTGCATGCCACCACTGTAACCCTGTGCTTAAGCATTGTTATTAATTAACTAAAGTACATCCAAAGTGATAATTAAAGAGCTCAAGTTTATTAGTCAAGAAGTTTGCTGAAGTGTAACATTTCACTTTGTTTCCATTCTACATGCCAAGTTAAGCCAGCTTTATTCTCAATATGCAGAAACAAAAGCAGATATGGTTTAAGCCTTTTCATTTAAACAAATCTGAAACATTTGTGTTTGTACTTGGATCAAAATACCAGTTAAAATCATGAAACCTCCGCTCAGTGGGTGATTTGTGAACCTTGAATCCAACACTGAGGACCACCTCTGTACAATAGTGGCTGCCAGACAAACTTAAATGTAAAATCTCACCAATCTGCAGCAGGACTTTTGATTGAAGAGTGACCCACTGACCCACTGGCAAAACTACTTACACAAGCTACACCGTAAACAGTTCCCACAGAGGGAATATCTTTCCACAGTTATCCACACTGGATAACACAGCTGCACTGAGGTCCACTGACAGCATGCCGGATAATTGGCCACTGTATGCCCTGATGGCCCTTCAGTGATGTTGTCTCGCTCCAGAAGAAATTAAGACTCTTTCTCTAGGTCAAAAAGAAAAGAAAAAGAAAAGAAAAAAAAACATATAGAAAGGATATAAAATGAACTTTTCCACATAACAACAAAATTGCATGTTTGCTGTTTAACAACTCAGCTTTTTAAATTTGTATTCATCATTCAATTCGTGGCTATCTATGTGATTGATAGCATTCAGAAGCAGACACAATGTTGCTGTTTCGCACACAGTGGTTTACAATTCCATTTGAATGTGATTTGCCCTCAGCTGTATACAAATCCACCTTTTGCTACACTTCTGTTGGCCTTCTTGAGCTCCGCATTAGCTGTCTTTGTAGAAACCAATTCTATGAGATGTTGACAACTGTCTATTCTATTCAATGCCATACAACACAGCTTTGGTCATGGTGGGGTCACTCCTGTAATAATTGAGATAATTGACAGTTGTGCACCGAATCTTATTCTTCGTGTCCCTTTGTATTGTGCCTTTGGTGGATATAACTCTGATTAAAGTTTGAAAACACAGATGCCAAATATCTGTTACTCATTCTTTTTAAATACTTTCCCCGTCAGTTTTGAGCAAACAAAGGGGTCACAGTCACACAGTGTCGCTTTTTTCTTTTCTTTTCGAGACACAAAGAATATGTTTGTATATTTTTATATTTCTTACCAAGCGGCACATTGTTAACTCTTTATACTGGGAACAAATACCTTGGAATGTTTATTTTATTCTTTGCGTGTATAGAAATATGAAACACTTTGTTGAAAAAAGCCCTGTGGCCATGAGATTGCAATAAGCAATAAAAAAAAAAAGAGCCCCCCCCCCACCCCCCCACCCCCCACGCAGAATACAGATTACTCAATGAATATTAATTTGTGTTATAAAATGAATGTGCTTTCCCTTTCGGCTGGTTTTGATCTTTAACTGTCAAATACTTTTAAACAATTAGTTGATGTCATTACCGACTCATTTGATATGCAATGCTCTTTGTTTTGTAAATGCTCATTAAAACCTCGCCTCAGGCTGTACTCACAGGTACACGGTCTGCAGTTGTGTCTCATCACCTGCCATGTGTATCAAGACATTCTGCCGCTCAGAGCTGAAACTCTGCTTGAAAAAAAATCTGAAAAAAACATTTCCATGTCTGAACCCCAAGCTCTTTGATGCAAGAATCTACAGCTTGGATAATATCTGGAGGATAAAGTCGATATGCTAAGTGAGGTCCACTGAAATGTATAAACAGATACAGTAAACCTGAGACGTAGCACCATTGTGCTACGGCGATACTTTTACATTTACAGATATGTGATCTAATTATGTTCTATTTTCTTTCCAAATTTCCTTTCCAAAATTCCCCCCCAAAAATCTCAATCATGCTTTTTAATCTAAGCTTCTGGAAAGGCACAAGAAATGTGTGTGGTGCTTGATTATGATTAAAATGAGAAGTGTTCAGGATGAGTGGAGCCCAAATGCAGCCCACAAATTCAGAAAAAAAAATGCTTAAAATGATTTACTGTAACATAGGTTGAAGATGAGTGATGGCAGGTTGGCTGAAGGGCACTGGAGGCCGAGGGAGGTGAGTGAACCAATGGCCAACCAAACGAAGAGAAGGGAGCCTGTGCTGGTGGAGAAGAGTGAGGCTGTTGATGAGCAAGGGCAGGCAGGCTTGGAATCTTGGACAGTGCAGGGAGAATCCGAGGCAGGAAAAAAAACAGCCAGAAAGTAAATTGGGAGGTAGAAAACTGAACGAGAACCACTGGTCTAAGAACAAATGGCCGGCACTGCGGTTGATGGAACAATCTGGAAAAGACGGAATGTAAAGTCAGAGTAGATACACTTCTAGAGCTGACAAGATTATGAGACAAGTCATAGAGAAGGAACACGCTGGGCCATGGCAGAGCAGCACACAAAGTGTTTTAATATGGATCGCTTCTATTACCCAACTGCTTTTCCACTCGCACTATACAGTATAGCAGACGTCAGAGAAATTAGATTACATTCAAGATTTCAATCAAACATGCTCTCCTCATCTGGAGGACAAAATTATAATTTGAGAGCTTTGAGAGATGACTGTCCTTTATTCAAATCCCGGTTTTAATCATTCTCTCATGCATCAAGCCTCAAAAGTGCTTAGTGAACAATAAGGGTCATGAACAAACCTGGTATAATGAGGTATTCTTCTTTAAACCTCACAAGGATTAACAAGACTTTTTAAAAAATGATTTTGTCAAAAGAATATACGGCCAAAGAATCTCACTTTCAAATCAAACCACTATAACAAAGACTGGTGAAAATGTACCTGAAAGAGCTCTAAATGAGAAATTTCTGGTTAATTTTGTTTCATACATGCAACCACACTCCATACTCAGCACGGCAGAGACTGGATGGCTAAAATAACCCCTTAACAAATTCTACGTGTGCCACTTACAGCAAACTTCACATATAAATTGTAAACTAATTGCTGTCATAAGCACAACTGGATTATGTTCTGGGTGGGGTAATTTGTTTTTGGGTGAATGCAGCTCCACATTTATGATCTCCACTGGAGTTTGGAAGGCTGAGCTTGAGATTGTGCTTATTCCACCCTCACAGCAGAGACTGTGGTTTGCATCCAAACTCCCATCTGTGATTACACAGGTGACAGAAGCACATTGGCTGAGATTAATATAATGTTGGTGTTTTCAATGAATGCAAATACATCTCACGAGTCACGCTGGAATATTTCTCCATCAAAAGAAAACACATATTTCTCAACCTGGGACGGCACGAACACAAACAGATTCATATGTGTGTTAATTTGTAAATGCTGTCACCGGGAAAATGTCTTGGCTTAAAATGTGGTTCAAGTGTGTGTCTGCGTCTCACCAAACTCGCTGATCAACAGTGTTTCCTTCATTTCAAAAACATCAAATATAAGCAGGCCAAGCGTATACTTCTGCTAAATGGTGTCTGTGCTTGTCATTGAATATGCAGGCAATATTTGGGAGAGTTCCTTTCAGCAGAGCAGCAGTATTTTGCAGCAGTGTCACAGCAGAGTCTCCAAATGAGCAAATGAGCAGTGCTGGCCAACAGCTGACCCCGACTGAACACCTCGGACCACATAGGTTATAGACGATCTAATGAGCACCCTTTATGGGCTGACTGTGCACCAGCTGCTGCGTGGCCCTTCCCCAACTAAGCACCTGATATGCAGCAGCATGCAAAAAGAGAACTCAATTATTTCACTGCAGTAAAAACACTGTTGGTGGAACTGTAAAAATATCCGAGCAAAAGTTCACTCAACAAAATGTAATTTAAACTGTCCTTTGAGGAAAATGTCATTTTTCTGTTTGAATGTTAGTTGAGGTGGAAAAGGACCTTAACCCCCTGAATGTGCACAACTGCAATGTTTAAGGGGGCTTTCATTTAAAACAAAATAAAGCACTGTGCAAGTATAAAAACACAAATTTCAATACTTGAAATACTTTGATACTTTTTATGCTCACAATTAAATATTTGTTTAAGGATGCATTCAGAGTTTTTGCTTACAGCTTTCTCCAATTCCTAGCAAGTCCTTGGTTCCAACAAATTATCTGATTGGAATACATATACAGGGAATTTGTTCATACACTGAAACACAAGCCATAATCCCAGAGACGGACGGAGGGCTATATGACTCATCAGCATATCCACATTAGAGATATTATTCTAAAGGTGTCTATGAATAATACACAACATATCTTAACGTTTTAGTACAGTAGTACACATTAAATAATAACTCATTTACACACACCTTATCATTTATTTCAAGGGCAGCATGTAAGAATGTCTGTCTCACTTCTGAGTTGTGTTCAGTTAATAACTCAACCAGACTCATCACCCTCTGGTAGAATACGTACAAACCCACTGCTTGTTATGACTGAAGTAAATTGAATTTAACAGTCACTTTCATAGATGACGTTTAACTGGTTGCCTTAGTTACATGTTAGCACAAGATGTTTTGTAGGAACTGTGTCTTCTAATTCTGCCTATCTATAACTTCTTTGATAATGATTACAGCCGGCAGCTGTTCTTAGGACCAGAGGTTGTATATTCAGCAAATGCATGTAATGGTCGTTTAAGCGTGCATGCACAAATGCCCCAAGGCATATTATTAATGAGAAGGCGCTGTCATTAATCCCTGATATAGCCACTGATATTCTTTTTTTCCGTCCATCTTCAGCTGAATGTAAGATTAATCTCTATGTGGGTGTTGTTGTCTATCCACTTTTTCACCTCAGATGTGCTGTATTCGCACAGGACATCACCTTTTCGTTTTTGTTTCTCCTAATTTATGATTTATGCTGTGAAAAAAAAGGCAGAAGCAGAAAAAGTAGTGGTAAAAAAAGTTTTATGTAGACATGTAGATTAGTTTATGCCTGAGCCGCTACCATACAGGGATTGGTGTGCCTTTACACAAAGATGCTTTGAGTATAATAGAAATGACACACTGACAAAAGTAAGTGCATGTTGATATCACAGGTATGTTTTGTGTTTAATTTCACATCTTTGCCTGGCTCTTAGCATGCTAACCATAACCGATTAGGACAAGAACAGAGCACATACACTGCTAGTGTTCCAGGTTATTTTGTGATAAAGCAAATTATACTGTCACTGATGATAAATTGTCATGGCTTCACTTCAATTTCGATTTAGTTTTATCTGTATAGCACCAAATCATAACATAAGTCATCTCGGGACACTTTACACAGTTAGGTCAAGGCCTTAATGTTATAGAAATAGAGCAAACTAGCTCCCTTTGAAAGCAGCAGGGAGGAGCAAAAACTCCCCTTTAACAGAAAGAAATGTCAACTACAACCAGACCCAGGGTGGGCACTGGGAGGCCATCTGCCTTAACCGGTTGGGGTGAGAAATGAGGGGAGAGAGGGGGGATCAAAGTCATAGGATCCATAGTGTGTGGACCATAAAAGTCTGATCCATCAGAAACCCATCGGCAGTAGGCAGGCAAAAACAACTGAACAAAGGCATGTCATCAACACATGCCTCTTAGCCTAAGCAAATAATACTTTTAAGGTTGAGTTTTTGCTGAGATCAGAATCACTCAGTTTCATTGGGTGAGGATCAGTCTCCTGTTCATAAGGAGCTGGAACTAATGTAACTTACGCCCCTGTGATATATCATACTTTTATGAAGATTATTTAGTGTAATTTCATTGAAGTCTGGTGCTAGATACTATAGGTGTTTTGCAGGCTTTGAGATTTTGAACAGTGTTGCTTAAAATGAATAATTTAATCATAAAACTTCAGTCGCCAGGGTCTTTGAACATTGTTCTTTAATTGCTTATATAAAAAAGAGCTATGATTTGCTTGCATTAAACCCAGCCCTTCTAAATTTAATAATCAATATATCTCTTGTCATTCAGTGCATGGTGTTTGCAGAAACTCAGTTTGGCAGTGAGAATAGATTTATGAGTTAAAGACTGAGAGGACTGAAGGAGAAATTGAAGTAAAGAAAACAGATGCACGGTGCAATTTTATCATTTTTCTTTTGTTCGATTCTTGAGGTGTCTGTGGGACTGTAAGGCAGCACATGGGGGATACAGCTCATTTGTTCGATGCTAATGTAATGGAAAAAAGATGAGGTCAGCAAGGCATCGGAGTCACCAAAGTGGGATCGATTCCAGATCAGATCTCACTTACATGAGAAACATGGGTGTAAACGTATTGATTATGAGTGCTCAGAAATCTTCTGTGCCGCTGGCTAGATTAAAGCTGCCCGAGTTGGAATCAGCAGAGTCCTTCTCCTCCGGCCTCGTCCTTCTCTGACAAGGTCGTGATTATCGGGGATCTGATCCTGACAACTCTTCCCACTGTTGGCTTCACGGTATTAACCACCGGTCAGCATTACTTTGCTGGAAATCACACTTGCCGAAGGTGTTTAATTAATAGCTACAAAATCCCATTTGCAGGAATATCCCCATAGTACTACATCCACAAAGCAAAACATATAAAACAATGTAGCTTCATTCTTATGTTTTTTTTTTTTTACATGACAGCAGTGAATGAAATCAAGATGACATGCAGCCCAAGTTAGACAATCGACAGAATTGGTCTTCCGATGTCTCTTTAACTTTGCACCTATATTTTTAGTCAATTCATCAGGAAATTTAAAACTACACGACCTAAGTAGCTTCTGTACAAATATCTAATCATTCACAAGGTGACACTTGTGGACCCCAGAGGCGGCCCTCCTTCACAAGTCTCAATGATAATCTGCACTTACTTACATCATTGATTATGTCTGTGGAAGAGAAAGTCCACTGGGCATTCAATCCCGCTATTGCACGGAGACAGAGAAACACGAAACAAACAAGATTAATAATAGCCCGTGGTACTCGTCCCAGGGGCCAAGCAGCTAACAACTCTTGACAAAACAAGGTTTAGAACAGCAGATGGATTGTCTGTAGAAATGAAGGGAATGTGCATTGGGAGTGTAATGAAGAGCACTGGGTGCAGGCTTTTCCCAGAGTCACTGGGAACGAGCCTATGGAAATTAAATCAGCCTGTGACAGTTCTCATTGACTGACTCCACCTGGGGATGGTGACCACAGATATGAATATAGTCTAATCAGGCTTTGTTTTATCTGGAGAAATGAGGGGATTTAATGATCGCCGGCTACGCTCATCTGGTACAATAAAAAGCCAACCGGTCCTGGAGAGATTTACCACCGGGATGACCAAGAAACTGAACACAAGTGTAACATCTTTACCGGCGGTGAAAAGAACCGTGACATGCATCTATTTATTACAAGGGTAAAGCTAGAAAGGAACATTTGGTTGTGATTTATGTTGTGGTTTTGTCTGACTGTGGTAGTTGATCTTGTTGGTCATATTGTATTACATCAATATTATTAGGTGCATAAGAAAAAGTCATGGCGGGCAGGACGCCAACAGAGAATATGAAGTTAAGAGTGCGTCGCATTGAATTTTAGGGAATAGGGTTTGTTAATGCGTCACATTGTTGAAATCCTGCTTACTCAGATGTTGTTTTTTGTATTCAGAGTCCCTGCAGACTAATGCTCAGGATCATGTTTTTATGCAGATAAGCCTCTAAAATCATGTGTCAGTATATTTCTACTTTACATCTAATGCTTAGCATTCCGAGATTATGGCAAATCTTTATCAGAGTCACACTCTGATAGTTGTTAATCCCTTAAAAAATATTTAAAGTTATTCAAAGTATAACTTCGTTTTTTTAAAAACACATTTTCTGCCCAAAAAATGAAGAAAAAGCGTCCATAGACAACATCTCCCGGTGTTAAGGTGGCTGGGCACTCACTCCTCACCGTGTTTCTTATGGAGTGAATGGGGATCCATGAATATGCTAATGGCCTCAGCTCACTTCTCCACCTGCCTGCAGCTGACACTGGGCTTCCCTGTCTACTATGACTGTGTGTCTGGTCGAATAGTCTTTTTTTGTTAGGGAAGGTTCCTATCTGAGTGAAACGACCCAAAAGTATCTCGCAGCAGCCGTGATAAGAGCTGCTCATATTCTTTAGCGAGGGAAGGACCATCAGCGCTTTTTTTTTTTTTTACTATCTCCTGTTGCTGAGGAAACACACGGCCATCCTTTTCTAAAGGAAGGTGATAATTCCACCTCACCATTCCTCGGGGTACAACTTTCAGGGCTCAATCATTTCTCATCTGGTCACACTAACAGAGATTTATTTGGACAAATACGGGGACACAAGAATAAGTGTGATCAGCCCACAGCAACAGTGTCTTTCAATTGTATGCCCCTTTCTTTTCTTTCTTATTTATGAACCATAATAATGTATCAAAACTATGCATCTTGTTTTGGCTGATACAGCCTCACTTTATTAGGAATGCATTAGACAAATTATCTCCCCCGGTACATCAACAGCTCGACAGCTGTATACAATTCACAGCCTTGTAATCGTGCTTTAAAAGCTGACAAAAAATCCTTCAGAAGCTGGGGAAAAATGTCTAGTGAAGATAAAATTATAAGACCCTGTACAAGACAAGACCAAATGAGGGAAACATTCTTGATTATTTGGAACTCAGATGGATTACAATAAACATTTTTGTGGGATTTAAATGTGGTTTATATGAATACAGGTTTTGTAAGCTTTAAAATTTTCTGGCAAATTATGGCTGTCAGTTTAACGCAAAGTTGTTTTAATGCTGGGTATTTCTCTTTAATAGGGATACAAGGTACAGAAAATGCATTGAATAATAAATTTGTGCATTCCATATTAGTTTTATCACTAGAATCAACCACAGCTTTGTTCTTCTCAGTTTTGCCTCGGAAAGAGGGAGAAATGATCTTGGTTGCATTCTTTTAATGAATTCAGACCCACGTCCGGGCATTGATTGAGCAAAGCAGATAAATTGCTATAAATCATGAAAGATAATTGGTTATTTACTGCGGCAATGTGCAAAAATGTACATAATGTCCATTTTTATAGACATAAAGGTTAATGCTTTTAAAAACGCTCACAAACTCCTCTTGTGTTGCTTTAATATCTCGTACACGGTCAAGGTAAGGGGCTCCAGAAAAAGGCACTGTGAGGCAGCTGAGAGGTCCTTTACAACCAACAGACTATGTGTCATGCTCATGACGTATTTGTGAGTCTTTTAAATAGGCATCAGTTCTCAACAAACTAAATCTACATTATACAAGGTAATGTCCATTTACTTATATCAGAACAGTGTTGTTTTTATGGCATTAGCAGTCTTGGAAAAGAATTGCATGCCAGCCAAATCCATGGTGAGCAAGGTCCTGGCTTATGGTGGGAAAAACTTGTTCTGCTGATAGCTAGGCAAGCCAAGATCATTAGTTTGGAAAAGGTATTTAAGCTCTCATAGACATGCAACCTTTGGCTAGATCATGAGCAAGGTTAAAGACTGTGGTTACTGAGCTTTCAAAATCCAAAGCAGAAATGCTTAGCATTTAGCCAATTGTATACCTTGTACATGAAAAAAATTGATTAAAAAAAAGCAGTTGACTCCAATTCCACAAAACATTGTCAAAAAACTAAATATTTTTGACAGTGTTAGAATTAGTTTCCCATGTCATTTGAGACCAAATCATGGGGTCTGCTTTGGCAGGCAATCAGATTTTGGCACATCAGTTTGTTAATTTGCAGCAAAAACACACAGTCACTGTTATTTAGGACTGTTGCCAAACAAAAAGTGACCGCTATCTGAAAAAAGTCAGCACTCTGTGTGATGACTATTTCTTCAATGCTGATGCTTCAGAAATGTCTCACTTTACACTTGAAAAGTTTAAGGTTACGGTGGAGTGATCAGACAGCTGATATGATCCCTATTTACAGCTCGGTCATTTAAGTTTAAAGTTATGTACCTTACTGTCTTTTTTTTCTTTTTTTAAATCCACTGCCAGATATAATGTTTTTGAAGCATTTGTCTCCTATTGGCGGTTGATGCATGCTTAGTACCTATCTATAAATCAAACGCACTAATGAATTTTATATATCTGACTGACAATACATGCAGGCAATAAAAGGATGATTTGTTTTATAAGAGCAAAGTCACCAACAGCACCAGCTGAGACCAGAACATTTATTCATCTGCAGAGGGGGAAATCATTATTACTGTTCATACTAGAGCCTTAACTGATTAAACCTAGACTTCTATGTCATGGAATAAAAACCAAATTGTGTCTGTTCAGCACCTCAACACACAATAAGAAGAACTTTCTTTTAGAAAAAAGCACAGATTTCTGCAGTGCTACAAAATCTCAGTACTCAACTTTATTATTTCATAAAAATTCCAATATATAATTGTAAAACTGCAAAAACTTAAGTCTTAAAACTGTGTGGGTCTGGGGGGGGGGTCTGTAGTTTGGGACTAATAAGGTGAACTATTTTGCTGTCAGTTCTTTTTTTCTAGCGATGCATATTTCCATTTCTTTCTCATCTCTCAGCAGTTTAGCTCTTCCTGCACCAGCCAACTGGTTTAAACAAATAGCTCCAAATACTTGCTACACTCAGGCAGTCAGCAAGTGTTCAAAAACCCCACCCAGAATTTCTATTAGGAACACCCACAGACCCTGAACAAACATACCGGGTGCGTTGAATTACAGAGTTGTGCAGTATAATCATAAGGTATAGATACTAATTTTGACCAAAAAAAAAACAGCTTAGATCAGAGATCAAATCCAGAAGCTGTCAGGAAACTACAACCACTGGAAGGCCCTAGGCAACTGGCAACACTGAGCTGATGTGAAGACCAACTGCTCCCGACACATTTAATCAAGTGAGAGGGTCTACATTTAGACAGGCACGGCCCACAGGGAACGTGCAGAAAGGTTCTCACGGCAAAATGAAGAGAAAGGCAGAAAAAGAACAACTCGTCTGTGCTGGATTGATTCTCTCTGTCCTCGATTGAAATTCACCCACTGCTGCTTAAACACGTCACTAGAGAGGGGGATTAAGTTTGAGAGCTTCAAATGAAACAGTGCTCCTCTCAAATGTAATTTAGAATCGAATCAGGAAACTGATACAAAAAAAGATTTGTTTTAATTGTAAGCTATTTTTTTCTGTTCATTCTGTGGAGCTGAAAATGTTTTGTGTCAATTCATGACATCCGTATTAGTTATTGAACAAAAATTCAGATGGGTGCAAATATTTCATGTGCTGAAAGTATGCCACATCTTGTTTGCATTTAAACCGAGCGAAAGGAAAGATGAAAATATCTCATCTAAAAGAGGTTCAACCTTATTTGCTTCCTTTTTCTGACAGCGTTAAACCTGAAGATTAGTCATCCGTATTACTTCTGTATGACCATTGTTAAAGAAAGATATAAAAAAAAGACCCAACTACTTTCATTTAAGGCTTTAATGAATTAGTGGAACAGTATTTCAAGCCCTTGCATCACTGCAATCTTAAAATAGAATAATCTATTTTTGTTTAATTTGATTTGAATATCAGAGACTACAACTTAGACTTGACTTTAGGCCTTAGAATCAAACAAAGAACCGAGCATCAGTGAAAGGCATAATCCCATGAGATATCTTGCATATTGGCTCCGAAAGCCGAGTAGCGGCATCTGAGCCAAAAAGAGTGTAATGATTCGGGGCCTACACTGTACAGCGATTTAGGACGTTGTGTGTGAGCCACAAAAGTTTATTATAACCCAAAAACCATTTAATGCACGAAGAGGGATGCTGCTGTGTAGGAGGACGTAGCTTGAAAGCTTGAATCAGACTGCAATGAATGATGAGAAGCTGGCAAAACAGTTAGAAAATGTGACAGTGAAAATTGGGAAAGGAAATGACTAATATACCATGATTTAATAAGAAATTATGAAACTTATTTACTGTGAATGGGAGTCAAAGCTGGAGATAATGGACATCGGATATAGCTCTAACACAAGACGGAGCAGAAAAAGGAAGAAGGTTGGATGCTTTCATCTGCAAAAGCAGCTGAGGTCCAAAGAAAGCCAAACTTTATATACATATATCTGTCACAGCAAACAAGATTGTCTGAACAAGACAAGACAAGTTCATATAGGAAGCTTGGTGGAGAGGCGATGAAATAAGCTGTGACACTTTCATCCTGGAGACTCTGACTGCAGTTCAAATATAGTGAAATGCAATCACATCTCTTGTGGACAGTCTGGTGTGAGAAAGTGTTTTTGTTTTCTTTGGATTAACCGTTATTCGCTCTTTCTTTGCATTCAAATACTTTTAAGAGGCTCTAAGTCTGTATAGGTTCTTTGTCATCTAGGTCCTGATAATTATTAGTAGTTGAATAGAATGAAACTGGACTAAATACCATTAACTGGAATGTTCTGGCAGAATTCAGAGTTCAGATACAGTGTTACAGTGTGAGGCTACGGAGACCGGATATGTGGAATAAAAGGTGTTTTTTAGAAACAAATAATACTATGATACATACCTGCTTCAAGGTTGGTGAAAACTGAACGAACAACGAACACATAGCAGACATTTTCTACTTCCCTCGGTAGGTGCCAGGGACAGATCCAAAACAGACTGAATGTCAGACTGAAAGTCATTCAGTGAACACAAACAAAACATAAATAAAGATTTAAACTATTTCTCTTGAAAGTATGAATATCAGGTGTGTAAACAAGCGTCTGTTCAAGGAATTTTCTAGAGTAGGATTTTGTCTGGGTGGCACACGGTGGTGACAGATTTCCTCTTCTGCTCATGGCACATTAAAGAGTCGGCAGGCTGGCTGAATTACTCTCCAGCATGCTGCTTAGTGGAGTTATGTGGCAGGAGGGTGTTGTTTAAGGCATCATGAGTGACTGGAGAGTGATCAGTGGCTCAAATGAGTGTAAACCAGAGCTTACAGTTGGCAAGTTAACAGCAAGTTAAGTAAACAGTGTTCACATTACACTGCATCCCAGCAGTGTATGGAAATCAGCCCTTATTTTCTCTAATCTTTTTACCGAGAATGCACACACATGCATGTTACAATTATTCATTGTTGTTGCATAATAAGAGTGTCTCTCAGTATATTCATATGAGAAATATTGTATTCTCTTACCCCCGGGTGAGGCTTCATAAATTAGAGTGAGAATAGCATCATTCCCAACCCTAACAGGTCATGTTCATTATTCAAACAAACAGTCGGCACAGTTTTCTTAGCCTACAGGTTCTATAGTTCCCCTGAAATCTGTTTAAAAAGTTGCATCGAGATAGAACACACTGTAATGAGACCGTTCAAAAGAGAACTCCCCTTAGTTGATATACTGAAGAGCTGCATAATAAACATATTTGCATCTCAGCCACGAGATTGATGAGCTCCAACATGATAAATTCGCAGAGTCTTTTTTTTTCTACCTTCCTGTGCCCTTTTCGCTAAGATTTATTAAAAAGACACATACGCACATTCAGCCATAACATTATGACCATTTGGCCAATATCAAGAGGGCCTTTCTGGTGCTGCCAGAAAAAAAGCAAAAGGGCATGGACAAAGACTATACAGATGTATCCTGGAGTATAAACACGGCTGCCTTGAGCCCTGGAGGTTTTGAGGTGCGGTCTTTGTGGTTTGGGCTAGCTTCACACAAATACTGTCAGGCCAGTTAGGATCAAACGCCTTAGATTGATGTTCTTTGTTCTCTAAGGGGTTTTATGTGGGGTCAATGGTTATCCTGCAGCAGAAGGGCTGCAAAAAAAATTTAAGTAGGTGGTAGGTGTCAAAGAATCATTAGTGTGAATACCAGGTGCAGGTTTTCCCAGCAGAAGATGGTGTTTTAATAAGATGTACAGGGCTGCAAAGTTTGTCAGTCATTGGTCTTAATCTTATGTTAGATGAAATGTGGAAAAAAAAGTATTTTCCCTTTCTCGACCTCCATCACAGGATCCTCTGCAGCGAGAGTCGTACACATTTTTTTTTGTTTCTTTGTAATGAGGCTTTGGCAACATTCACCAGTGATGGGGTCTTTCATCACTCAAGTGACTGCACAATGCTTGTACTCATGTAGCTGAACATATGGAGAGTGCTATCAAGATCTCTTCAGTGGTTTCAACTGAGACACATCTCATCTACCAGCCTAACACAAATGGCATCAGCGGTGAAAGGATCAAGCCAAGGGAATCTGTATTAAATGTACTTTCCCATAAACACTACTTGCAGATGAGTCGCTGCCAACATTTATGTAAATTGTACTTTGAATTTCTATTTTTAAAGTTGGGAGAATGGATAGAGAGAAAGATAAGTTCTTTTTAAAAGACCTATTTCCATTTTTTGACACTGTGTTATCCTGTTGAGATGAGATGTCCCATTTCTCCACCAACATGTTTGTTATCATCAGTAGTAGTTAGTAATCATTACACTGGGTCAATAATCCATAATTCACCTGGCCAAATAAATGATTTTCAGCGTGCATTACTTTGTAAATGTTGTAAATGTTTTCCTGGCTTGTCTGTCAGCAGTATCACGATCAAAACCGCTTTGAGATTGCAGTGTTGATTGCATCTTAAATCAGCTCAGGAGGTTTGGTACTCTTCATCAGTTTTTCAGTTAGTTTTAATTGGATTTCAAAAACTCACTTCATTTGTGGTGAAGAACATATTTGAATGAAATTTGGTGAAAATAAAATTATTTTGAAAAAAATTCATTGAAATAGATTACTGCTCTTGATTAGAAAAAAGACAACTAAAGTCTCTTTTTGCAATTTTGTTCCAGATATGAGTTTGACTTTGTTAAACATGCCTTGTTTTAATTACAGAGACTAAACCTTACAGTGGTCTTCGATACTCTGACATCTTCCTGTTGAGTGAAAAAGTGGAAGGAGTGTAATTCTTTGAGTAAAAAAAGTCCTCTGAGAGACTGTTGCTTGGCTCCACCCCTGACAGTCAGTGTGCGTGTCTTTTAATCATGCCGGATCCTTACCAAAGTTGCCATGACAACAAGGGTCTCCAAATCTTTAAGAAATAGTTATCTTAACCTGAGCGATAATGCTTCAGTTACTCGGCCTGAACCGTGCAAGATTTCAGGGTGCTGTGAACCTGTTTATTAGTGGCAAAACAGAAGCCTATTGGTCTTATCTCAACTCTCCTTGCTCTTGAACTCTGGCGATAAGAATTTAACAAAATGGACACATATGCTAATAAGTACATTTCATAATCAAAATGTTATCAGAAAGTAATTTGACCAAGCAGACTGAAATCATTTTTTTGGGATAGTTTAGTGTGTTTTTTCTTTTGTTTTCAGTCACTGTTTGGACACTGTCTCTCAGGTAAAGAAAGAGGGTGGATAAATACTGAGTTTGTAAATAAGCATTTATGACCACTTTGCACATTTTAGAATGATGCTTCAAAAATGAACCTTGAATGCCCTTACCAAGTGTCCAAGTGTGATTAAAATGGATGGAATTATCCATCCATTAATAATGATACAGTGGTTTGAATAGTAAGTGGGACAGAAATACAAAGGCAGATGTTTTCACAACACAGTGCAATATTGTTCATGAACCAAAAATCTCTTAGTTGTGGATATATAAAAAAACAAAAAAAACAAAAGTAAATGCTCATCTTGTACGCCAAAATGACAAGCAGTCCTTTCATCTGTAGAAGTGTTGTGGTGGTTAGCACCATGGCTTCATCACAACACTGTTCCTGGTTTGAGTCATGATTCAGTATTTTCGTGGGTTCACTCCAGTTTTTTCCTCCCCATCGAAAAACACACAAGTTCGGCATTTGGCGACTGTAAACAGACCTTTGGGTGGACTGTGAGCATGCATCGTTGTGTGCCTTCTTTGTCTCCGTGTGGCCCTGTGATGGACAGGTGACTTGTCCAGGTTGCACCACAGCTCTCAGGCAATGACAGCTCCGGCACCCCCGCGACCCTGAGATGGAAGAGGGGGATGTAGAAAATGGATACATGGATGGACAATGTCATCATAAAGAGGCAGATGGCACTGTTTCACATGGAGTCTTTCAACCATGCAACTTTTCATTTCCAACATAGGGCTCAGTAGTTTTTACACCTCACAAATACAGTTGCTCGGATAATGCACCTGATTTGTGTCAATGTGCCATTTTCAGGCTTGAGCAGGGCTCTTGAAGAGATCAGTTTAATTAGAATCATGTGTGATGACAAAGAGAAACTTCAAAAAGCTGCTTGACAGGGACTGAGGACTGAGGTTGGACACCCCAGACTTATACCATTCCTTGGGTTGGAGGAAGCTTCCACCTACTTCACATCTCTTTCACAGTGCAGGCGGATGGAGGTTAATATGAATTGAGTTATCAATTTCCAAGAGGAAGTTCACCTATTGGTGACAAAGAAGAAATGCCACAATTTCACTTATCAATGACAGAGGGGGAAATGTCACGAGGCAATGCCAAGTCAGTGATTAAGCTGCTACGAGCCTTTACCTTGATGAAGATCTACACAATCACTTCCCTCACCCCTGTAGTTCACCTAACTGATGTCATGTGTGATTGTAAGGTCGAACAAAAGTTGGTTTCTTTTAAATGAGTGAATTAAAGCCAGATAGGTTGAACAGAACTTTAAAAAAAGGATCAATTGAATGTGGTCAGGTGCGACTCAGAACCAAGTGTCCACTTTCTCTCCATGCCCATTGGATCATTTGAATTAATGTATGAGAACCACATGTATCGTCAAAAGCAAGTAGAGTAACACCCCTTCTACCCTCCAGAAACGACCTTGAAGTAAAATAACTGTGATGCTCTGGTTCTCAGCAGAAATCTGAATCCCCAGAAGAGACGTCAGCACAGGCAGACCTGCTTTTGGGAAGAGGAGCATCACACAGCCTGCAGGCTGATGAGTCACTTTGAGGCAGATCTCAGAATACCGTTATGGCTGCAGGGGCTGGAGAATTGTCAAGCACACGGTCTCAAACTTAAAGGGCCGCAGGAATGTGTCTCCCCCTCACTTCCTCACTAATATTAACCAACAATGAACGAACCATTTTGGTTATAGTTTGAATCTATTCAGGACACAATTATCTAATCACTGCAGTCTCCCAAGATGCTGAGCTACAGTGTTTAAGTGAAGCTTTCTTATGGCAGGTGCAAGGTTGTGTTTATGTGGCAAAAAAGAATAGGGAAAAGACAATATGCAATGAGTAATATTATCTATTAGTCTTAAGACTCAGATTGAAAAGTAAAGATTATATTCAAAGATTAAAATGTAAGAGAGGGGAAAAAATTAAAGCATTACTTTGGGTCTTATCTCATAGTGCATAAGAAATCTTTTTTTTTTTTTATCTTTGAAAGACTCTGAAAAGTGATGAACTAAATTCAGTGCAGAAGGTCTCCTCTAAGCAGAGCAAAAGATTACCTTACTCTATTATACAGTAATACAAAAGTGAGGTAAAGGTTAATGATGAAAGAGGGTCTGCTGTCTGGTTCCAAAGGGGAGAGAATGGCTTACAGAGGATTATGCACAAATGTTTTACATAAATGAGTTCACACTCAGGAAATGTTTTTAGTGATTAGGTAATCAGATTCTTTTTTTTTTTTTACAAATTGCTTACTAGTTGTCTTATAACATTTGCAACACTTCAGTTCAGAAAATACATAAGAGTAAGATGTGTTACTTGTAACAATCAGTCTGTGCTTTGAACAATTAATACATTAATTAATGAATTCCATCTAGGTCACAAGGGAAAGAGCTTCTGTTTAATACAGAAATTGTGGTGAGTATAAAACCAAGAATATGTAATGTAAGGTGATAAAAGGGGACTTGGGGGGCTGTCTCATATGATATACCTCCATGACAGAGACCTGTGATATTTGCCTAAAAGAATAAAAAACTCTATTTAACACATACACACACATCAACAGACATGCACACGTTCAACAGAAAAATAGGTTTTTCACTTTCAGAGCTATAAAATAAAGAGCGAGAGGCAGTAGTTTGATATGCACAGGGTTGATTTGGTCCTTTATAGAATAGAAAAGAAAAATCAAGCCAGCAGGTGCTGGAACACAAGATATACACTACTGCGAGAAAAATCAGCTTTAATAAACAATTTATATGGTCAGGATCGACAACGGTTCAGACCACCCCACGGTATACTGAAATTGTTCAGCTAAAAGCAAGACAGCATATGCGGATACTCTCTCCACAGGAGCATTATTGCTTAAAAATACTGTGATGTTCGAAAAATGTGTCCAATTAACAGAGGAAATCTGTAGCGTTGTTTGGAGAAAAAAGATACAAAGGTTAAAGGGAAATATTCACTCAAATAACTTTTTCACTGTTAAACTAAAAAACTGAGTGAGAAAGAAATATATGCTTTAGAAGAAATGGAAAATGCAAACTTTTGAATTCTAATGTGAAATTAAAATGTCAGCATTTAAAAAAAATCAAAGTATAAATGCGTGCCTGATTGATTTCATCTCAGCTGTAGCATATTGCTTCAGCCCAGTGACCACTTCCATCTGCACTTGCAACTTGCACCTAACACTTACATCATTTCACACGGATCCTCCTTGAAAGTGAATAGAGTCAACGGATTTTAGCAAAGCAGGATAAAGGCTAAATCAACTCACCTCACTCTTTAGATGCATTTGTTATGTAGTAATCAAGAATGACCCAAAGTTGTTCATGTTCAGAAATAAACGTACATATAACCAATAAAACTAGTCAAATTAAAGATCTTCGAGCCACAGAATCCTCATAAGGGGTGAAATAGCAAAAACCGAATGCTGGTTGTGATTTTGCTGAGCTCATTCAGTGAATTTACTTGGTCAGAGGTAAACATTAAAACTATCGAAGACACTTTGGATTAAATACATTCTTTTGGCCAGACCAAGCGTTTGTCTGCTCGCTTGTACCGTCAAAAATGTGCTCTTTTTTTTTCCAAACTCAGTCAATTAGGTCACAAGAACTAGCAAATCTTTGTCTGAGAATGTTAGCCTGCCCTCACTACAGCATACATAATGAAATAATTCATATTTGTATGTGGACTAATCAGATCCAAGTACATTTTCACATTGCGGCCAACTACAAACCAAGAGTCAACTTTACTTTAAGAGTTCTAGTGTATTAGCTGCCGTCATACAGAGCTAAACATGTCATAAAAGAAAATTGCACGCACGCAGAGACTGATGAAGTGGGTTGTATTTGCTGTGCTGTGGTAGTGAGGGATTTTCTGAAGAGATAATTACAAGCAACAACATTGTTTACTTCTTTTTAAATGCTCCAATCGATTCAGTAGCCAATTTCTATTCTTGAATTCAGAAAAATCGTTTCTGCTCAGAGTTACATAAAAACTCGCTTTGTGTATAAACTATTTTTTGTAGTGATTCATTCCAAACACGAGGGCACTCAGGCACCCATGTGGTAATCTGCAACACAACTTCAACAGTCAGGTAAATGGTTATCTAGCTGTGATTTGGGACTGTGGGTGGTAAGCTCTAACACTTTACAAACACTCTCCAGAGCTCTGCTCAGCCAGGTCTAATTCAAGTAACCAAATCAATCCACACCTGATTTTTAAATTCAATATGTCTCATTTGAACACAAACACAGCAGTATGAGTTGTTGCTCTTGTCCTCTCAGGGAACAGATTTCCTTAATTGATACCCTTGATATTTTTTCATTTTCTTCCAAAATTTCCTCGCACAACTGGAGCACAAAGCTTGCACTTTCTATTGCGTCTGCTTATGCAGCTGAATCTAACTATCTCAGTTCAATCTAATCACTGTTACATGCATTGTTGTAGTGGGAGTTCATTATTAAGCTAAAGTTATACTTTCTTAATACTTTCTTGAATTTACCATAAGCCATGAGGTGGACCTCAATCAGTCTGTGACCTGTTTGTCCCTTCATTAGTCATTTCAGAATCTCTTCCATACTGATCCTCGACATCTGCCGCCTATCACTCATTTTTCCAGTTGCGCTCCATCATTAACATTCCACCGCTGAGTCTCATCCTTTCCTTTCTCCTCTCCCTCCTTCAGCCACTCCTGATAAGTCTCCCTTGGCCTCCCCTTCAGCCTCAAGCACCTCTGTTTCAGTACAAGTGAGTCATTTTCTAAGCTTATGCCATTTCCTGCTCAGCTGTCATTTTTATCAACACCCTCATACCAGACACCACATTTTTTCTCTTTCTTGCCTTTCCTTTGTAGCTGGGCTGTTCATCATTTCAATCATCCTCACATTTTTACAAACCATTCCAATGTTCTGTATAACCACCACTTTCCCTCCTTTTTGGGGGATCCCCAATTTAAGCTACCTGGTTCTCTTTCACGGAACTACTAACAAATAACCTAGGGTAATTAAACTGATCCAGCACAACTCATTCAGCCATTACTGCATGACACCACCAAAGGAAGAGATTTTTCAGCCTCACAGAGACCAGCTTTTCTCATGATCCATGCTGTTTCACAGGCCTTAAAAAAAACAACTCAGCTATTAGCTTTCCCCCACGTAGAAACCTTTGGTAATCACCTTTGCTTGATACTTAAAAAACATTTAGAATCACATCAGCTTGCAGTTTGGAGCCACTATTTCAACCCTCCCAAGTAGTCTTTGCTTCCCTTGATGTAAGTCATCTGCATAATTTTAATCAAGGTATTTAGTAGCACAGTCTCAACGCTGGGTTCTCCAGCAGAGAGTACTCTGAGGATATAACCTTCTCCCAACCGGAGACTTGACTGTATTTCTCTCTTTGTAGCACTCAAACTGCTTCCCCAGCCACTGATGCCGCAAATGAGAGCTCCAATCTTTTCAGCCACCTCAACCATATCATCTCCATCATCCCTTGAGGTTGTCTGTTCCTTTCGGACCTCCTGTCACTGGCTGCCGTTGCCTCTCTTTACAAATTTATTCCCCCTGATACAGCTTGTAAATGGAGCTGAGATCTGGCATCCCCTCCTCTCCTCCTGGACCAGTATCTTTTTCTCCTACGCAAACCAAACCTCACAGCCTGAGAGTGTTCAGCTGTTCATAGACACAGGATCCTCCATTTGATTTGGGGTAAACTAGAGCAGATGGTGGCTCATCTTTAACAGGTCTTCTGAAATATCAAGCTTCACTCTTTTTTCCAACCTATTAGAGCTGAGCATTTTTTTTTTTTGTCACTGGAGAAAATGTGGTAGAAAGAATAGTCCCAAATCTTATCCTCTATCCTCTCGCTGGATTTATTGTAATCCATCATGCACTAGCTGCTCATTGCAATCCAGGGTCAAATGAGTTTGTTTTTATACTCTTTTTCATTCGACAACTAAGGCACACTATCCCCAACATGCCTCTCTCTGATCCAGGAATGTCAATAAAATACTTTGTATCGCTATATTGCTTGTGACAAGTGAATCGGTAAGGAATGCTGAACAGTGCGTGATAATGTTAGAAAATAATTGTGTTTGGATTTTGGAAAAAAAAGTATCATTTTTCATTATGCTTTTCCACATGCCCAGCAGCTGTATGCAAGAATGCAAATGTCTATAGATGTCAGACCATTCATTGTGCAGATTCTGCCCAGCTGGCACCGGAGCATTGGCAGGGTAGTCTGTGATTTAGCCCACGTGTGAATAGAGCAGGTAATTGTCTCTTTTGTCGACATTTTGGACATGTTCAAACTGATGTCAACACAAAAGTCATCATCATGGAGAAGTTGGCATCTTCCTGTATGCAAAAATGTGTTTCATAGAAATAGTTTATTGCTGCACTGTACATGTTTGGACAGATTTTGGTGACACCGTCCAGAGTTCACGCTTAAAAACAGACAAAGGTTAAAAAGAAAAAAGGAAAATAAGTGGAAAATGCAGCTGTGTTGAAGTCTGTTTTTTGTTTGTCTTGCCGCTCCATCAATGGGTTTTTGGTGCTTTATAATACTGCCACCTGACTTCCTCCTTTGTTTCTACCGTGATTACTATGCTGTCAGTCACTTGAATTTAAATGCCATTTTGTAGAACTTGCTCAAAAGAATGATGTTGTTTTTGTCTTTGAGGGCAGTAAGCTGTAATTCTAATATGCTATATGTGGGGTACATTTTTGTTTTTCTTCTTTTGAGTTATGTATGAGATCGAGCCATTCATATGAACTTCAGCCGTGCTCAGGCCATCTATTTGTCTGAGGGGTGTTTAGCATGCTTTAGAACGAAACTGAAAACAGATGAAAATACGTTACATGCTGGATTGTTTTTGTTCAACATGGAGGGTTTTTGCAACAATCCAAGGTTGAGGTGAAGCAGCCTGAGCTGAGTTCATCAGTGAGTGTAGTGAAGTTTAGTCTGACGTATCTGTTAGTTTATGGTTTTCTGTGACTTTGTGAGAATAATCATTTGGATGGTCCCTATCTCTATACGTGTCTGTCCCTGATGCAGATAAAATGGAGGTAATATTTGTAATGACTGGACTTCAACACATCACACATATATATGAAACTATGGCAACATAATAACCAGCAGTAAATATAGAGGAGGAATCTGCTGTACCTTTAGAGGTCTATAAGCCAAACTGAAAATATCATAAAGCAGCCTCGCAACGCTGAACGCAAGATGTTACACAATGAAAACTTTCTCTGTGCTGAACGCTGCAGAGTATTAACACTCTTGAGAAATGAGGCCGGCTGAATCGATGCAATACAGCAACACAGTGAATGGAAAAAACAGTTTTTCATTGTGTGTACTTGTGGCAGAAAAGGCGAATGTGTTAATTTAGTGGTGCCAACAAGTCTGTTATTGTTAGATGGTTGCTCCAAACACTGATTGTTGAGTTCTACGAAATGCCAAAAAATGCACCGTTGGATATTTCGTTCACTGCTCAGAGTTTGTTTTGCATTGAGACCTTACTGAGACTCATCATGTACACGAAAAATACTATTTGAATTGACAGGTTGTACATTTGAAATGCTAAAAAAATATCTATTTTACTTCATGCTTTAAAAAATACTGATGCTTGCAGTTGGCGCTGTTGTTTCCATAGAACACTTACTTTTGAGTAGCAGCGTGAGATATAAAGATTTTTAATTCAAATAAAAAAGGCCACCTGAAGCTTAAAGAGACAATTTTGGGCCAGTGAACAGGCCAAGCTAGCTCATTTTGGGTGAATGCTTAAAGGGGCATTTATAATATTGTGGAAAAAAGTAGAAAGTCAAAAAAGTGCTATATGTTTTTTTTTTCATAAGCTAGCAACCTTGTATATTTTGTCCTCTTCTTAAAATGTCCGCCTTTCAAAAACATATATAGCAGAATTATGCCAATACCAATGCTAAACAGGAAATAGCTTTATCATAGTCAGAGGGGCAATATAGCCAGGGCCACATTACCCTAATCCAGTCTGATAGATTTACTGATGTTAGAGATGCAGGTATCTTGGAATAAAATTGCTGATAAAAACAACATGTCTTTTGGCTTTATTTCCTTATTGCCAAACAACATCAAATCAACAGCTGTCAGGGGCTGATAATCGTCTAGTGTTGTGATTGTGGTGGAAAAATGTTGCTGTGAAATATACATTTATTCAAATTTATGTTTGTGGAGAAAACTTTTTTTTTCATAGCTTACATGATCCACGTAATAATATTTTAAATATTATTTGGTCATCTTTTAAATGAGTTTTTTAACACTTTATAAGAAAGACAATAATTCCAGTGTTGAATATACATTTAGAAAAATATATTTTATTTATGAAATGATAAGGAGTGCTCAAAATGGTTTGTTATATTGGTACTGACATGAAATTTAAATCAAATGTGAACAATGCTTCTGTCATGTCCCAAAATTTCACAGTCAATGCATCTTTACTTTCGCTAGAGCACAAAGAGGTTTTTAGGAGCTTAATGACAACTGGATTTGGGATTACATGTTCACAGATTGCGTTTCAATTGGAAAAGGTTGTTTAAAAGTATTTAGGTGGAGTGGTCAAGCTGAAACCATGCACCAACAAAGCCGCTGACAGTTTCTCACGGCAGATATTTTCATTAAATGCAGATGAAAGTGAAACAAAAAAACATAGGAAACCCTTTGCAGTAGCCTTAATCGCTGCCCTGATTCCATTTAAATAAAGCAGAAAACCAACATAACCATATTACAATGGCAACATGCAGTGAGTAAACGAAAATGCAGCAACTAACCTCCAAGCCTAAAAAGTCCTTATCTCAGGCAACAGGGAATATTCCTTACCACTTAGGCATGAATCTATTACATTAGACAGTTGTAGTTTGTGGCAATGCAAGCATATTACTTGAATAATTTCCCCCAGTGGACTGGACATTATTATGAGCAGGCGTGTGTTCAACATAAAGCCTGCCTCAGCAAATGGCTCATACTCAGTAGCAAATTACCTTAAAATGACTGGTAGAGATTACAGAATAGCTGGAGCCAAGTTAAACAATATTTGTTTCTGGCACTAATGAGAATAAAGCGTGTGTTGTGATTTGATTAACGTGTCATTTGCATTCAGTGACACTGAGATTGTGGAAATTTAATGGCTTCATGAAAAGGTTCAAACAAAGGTGTGCTACGTTGTTTGGCAGCCACTCATTAAAAAGTGCGTACAAGTAGCAACCACACTTCATTTGGCAGCAACCACTTCCTACAGTTGCACTGCAGGTACCCCACTGCTGATCTGCTTCCAACAGCTATTAGTCATTACTTAGTTGTTCATAAATGTTTTATAGCCAATAATAGTTTATGCGCTTGCCTAGACAGGTAAGGTGTGATCAAATGTAAATCAAAGCTCTGTCACTTTACTCGCATATACCAACAAAAAAAAACTTTAATTGAACTCTGACTGATTGACACTGCTCTTTTAAGGGGTTGCACTCTTAAAGTAAAAGTATGATGCATAAATCACAGCCCAGGACATGTTCATATAATCCAATCTAACGCTGACTGAGCTTCAGCACTTTATTTCATTCCAGTGACAACAGCTGCTGTATCCACAGCCCTGCTCCATGCAAGTGCACATTTTGTTTAGTTTGATGCACGCACACAGTGGAAATTGCTAAACACCATGACTCCACCAAATCTTTAGCAAATTCTGAGCAGAGGAGGAGAAATAGTCATACTTTGTGTTT